CCCCAAAACCCCAAAACCCCAAAACCCCAAAACCCCATAAAATTTATTAACAATTGGAAGAGAGTTTATTGTATTTTATTATAATTAAAAACAATGGAGAAAAAACCACCTTGAATTAAAATTCAGAGGCCTGATATCAATAAATTGTAAGCTGTTTATGATTTTAATATTTACCTTCTAAATTGCTTTTTTATTGGAGATTGAGAGTAGATTTCATGGCATATTTGATAATAATGATGAAGTTTAGCACACAGAACAACCCCAGAGCGATATCTTCACCTGTTTCGATAATTTCTTGCAAAAGTACTGGAGATACTCAGGATTATAACTTTTCAATATTTAACCAAAAATAACTGCTTCTCAAGATCTCAAAAGAAAAGATGGGAGAATACAAATGATTCGATTTCCCCAAGTGAGTATTTTAAGTTATTTACATTAATTTTAAGGAATATTAACAATTTATATACCTTTCCAGTAGAATATTTTAGTAAGGTAGGGGTAGAATTCGCTAAAGCCTACAAATAATTCATAGAGATAACCTTTTCTTTCAAATATGTAGATCAGATAAAGAATAAAACCGATTTAGAAGCAAGATCTCCAGCATCAATCTCAATTTTTGAAAACAACTCTACAAAGAAAGTTCATAAAAGAAGAAAGTTAGGGTCACGAATGATAAAGAACTTCCTTTTGGATACAACTTCCATCTACCATCAGCCCCAAAAAGATAACTTCCAAAATTTATTGACATTATCAGGTAACCTCAAGGTTCTAACCTAGGATTTGGAAGTCCACTATGATTCGAAAACCTTCATAAGATTTTCTAATATTTGTTATAAATCAAATCATTTAGGCCGATCTTCACAGAGCAACAGTCGGTATTCTCCCATAAAGACAGCAGAAGGAGAATCAAAGGTATTATCACATGTCAATCTGTGTAGTTTTGAAAGAAAGATCTTTTCACTCTTAACAGAGAGAATAGAATTATGAAAGGAAAAATTGATCAATTGCAAAGTATCGTTAAAAAGGTAAGTGATCTATTAATATTGTTATTTTACAATTCCCATTTGTCCAATCAGATAAATTACAATAGATCAAATATGAGACTCAATGGCACGACTCTCTGATTACTAATTGGTTAACAGGAAAAGCAGTGCCAAAAGACCAAAGAGAGAAATTACAATCAATTCTTGAGAATAAATTCCAAGAAAAAGTTGAAGTAATTCGCTCTAAATACCAGACTTACATATGGAACCTTAAATCATCATTTACAAAACAAATTGAAGATCTCCAAGAAGCAATGGGTGCGATGTCTAATAGCTCTATTAAGAAAAATGCTTTGAGCCTAGGTATAAGCACACCCAAACTTCTTGAAAAATTTAAGAAATATCAGATGCTTAAATAAAGATAAGAAAAAGATAGATAAAAGATTTAAAAATTTGAAGGAGGATTATGACTTGTTGCGAAAGGATTTTTTGAAGCTTCAGCTTGATTCTTCAACAAAGAGTAAACATTCTTTCCTGGAATGATGTCTTTAATATTTTATGTCTTATCCCCTGTTTAGTATCCAAATTGAGAAATGACAATGCCACAGTTAAATGAGAACTTGATAGTCTTAACAAAAAGATCTTCAAATTAAAAGAAATCAGCACAAAAGATCTAGACCCAGTTGAGATGCACAGAAATCTTAGATTAATTCAAAGCCGACTTGAGTTGAGTGAGGGAAATAATTTTCAACTTCAGAATCAATTAAAGGATATCAACGATGTCTTAAAGATGTCAGGAACCACATTAGATGATTTGAAATAATGGACTCTTTAATGGGACAATGAAATTACCCAAGCAATCTATCAATTCTAAAACATTCGATTCTTCTCCGGTTTTCAACCAGAGAACCATAAAATCTAAGCTTTTTAAACCTAGTACAAACAAGAAAAGAGGAATGTCTAAGTATTAATCTTGCAAATAAAAGTATAGGTCAAAATAAATGTGGAAAGCAATTTAAAAACACAAATATCCTTTCCTTACGCTCTGATGACTCTCACAGATTACTAGAATGAGAATCAAATTCACTTAGTTCAGAGAGTTCTTTACCTCCAAATGATATGTCTATGAAGATATAAATGCTGAAAATGAAATAAAAATAAGAGTCAAAAGTCCAAAACCTTGTGATGGACAAGAGATGATTTCAGGGCACAAAGACAGTATGAACTATTTATTAATTTTAGCAAAATTAAGCAAATTAGATGATTCAAAAAAGAAAAACTCAAATAAAAAGAAATCTTCCTCCTCAATTTCAGAAAATGAATCTCTTGTGCTATCCTCCATTCATGAAAGAAGAGATTATGAGCTGTGCATCCGAAAATACACTACAAAAGAGCTGTACATATTTAGCGGAAACTAGTGTTATTTAATCACTAAATGCATCAATGTTGAAGATCAACTTGGGGTTTTGGGGTTTTGGGGTTTTGGGGTTCTGGGG